CGGAGCTGCTGGGATCCAAGAGGACCTCCCTGGAGCCTTCTGCCGATTCGAACGACCCGGTTGATTTCTTTGCGTCGGGTGCCTCTTCGACGACCTTCTCCCTGAGGGTGGCGAGCTCTTTGGAGGCGATGACTATGGATGCGTGTCCGCAGCATTCGACCTCGCATTCGTAAGCGCGCTGGAAAGAGGTGCCGATGGTGATGACCCCGTGGGGGCCCGGCATTTTCAGCTTCAGGTATGTATAATTGGGAACGGCCATGAACTTCGCGTAACATGGTCGCCCCAGGATGGCGTGGAAAGTCCCCGGGAACCCCACTACATTGAAGGTGAGGATCTCAGTCCGGTAATTGGACCGATCCCCAAAAGTGACGGGCAAGTCGATCTGCCCTAGTGGTACGGCTTGCCTACCAGGCACGATGCCATGGAATGGTGCTCGGATGGGACGGAGGTTTGTTCGGTCGACACCCATTTCGTCGAGCGTTTTGAAGTACATGATGTTGAGGCCGCTGCCCCCATCCATCAGTACTTTGGTGAGCCGCTTTGGACCGACGATCGGATCGACGACAAGCGGGTACCTTCCCGGGTGTGGGACGGCATCCGGATGGTCGGTCCGGTCGAAGGTGATGGCGGATTCCGACCACCGGAGGAAAGCTGGCGTGGCCGGTTCGGCGATATAGACCTCGCGATGGGCGACCTTACGCGGCGCTCGGAGTCGAGGCCGTTGATCCTTCAAGATCATAAGGGCGCCGGTCGGGCGTTGGGAAGGCGCCGCCTTTCTCCTCTGCGTCCTTCGTGGCGAACAGTTCCTTCCCTCGCACCCCTTTGTTAAGTCCCCGGCCAAGTATTTGCGCATGAGGCCGCACTCCTTGTATAGATGCTTGGCCGAAGACGTGGTTTGGGCATGGCCCCTCGAGCATTTTCTCAAAGTGGTTCGGAGTGCCTTCCGCAGGCTTCCTACCACCTTTGCGGTCGGGTCAGTGGACACAAGCGGGTTGTCGCGTCGTTGTTTCTTATTTTTTCTCTTGGCGGGGCGGTCGGAGGTGCCTTCGTCGGTGGCCTCGTCCGCCTCGCTTTTGCCGCTCGGTGCGGTCGAAGATGGCTCCGACCACTTTCTCTCGAGGCGTGATCGGCATGGCGATGTCCAGGAGTTCCTTAGTAGTCCGTGGGCCCCTGCGTCCTAGCTTGTGGACCGAGGATTCGCGAGTCGTCCCGGACGAAAAGGCTCCTATCACGTCGGCGTCGGCGACGTTCGGAGCTCGTTGCACTATCGAGAAAGCGCCCGAATGTACCCGCGAAGGGTTTCATTGGCCTTCGGGCGGCGATTTTGAGGTCCCATGGGTTTCTGTATGCGTTTGTACGTGCTGAAGTTACCCACGAACATCTCCGCCGATCCGCCCAACTCAATAGCATTGGATGGTAGGTGCTCCAGCCATTCTCGCGCCCGAATCGGCCAAGAACAAGCGGGAGATTGCGAATAATGAAGTTGTCATCACTGCACCACCGGCCCGACATGCAAGCCGATAGTCTTGAGCCAAAGCCCGAGATTTGTTTCGCCGTAATATTTAGGGATGTTGGTAGGCGGTCGATACCTTAGGGAAACGCAGCGTTGAGGATGTGTCGGCGAAGGCCCGAGGGCTGGCGGTCGGGCTCGAGCTTCGGTCCTTGTTGCCGTCGTAAGCGCTCACCACGTCGGGAAGATAGCAGCGGCGTCTTTTCTTCTCCATCGTCGTCGTGGGCACGCTCTCCGGCGTCGATGATATCAGGTAATGTCGCGCGCCATGGCGGCGTTGATGTCTTCGGGACGATGGAGGGCTGCCCATTTGGTCGGGCGATATTTGGTATCTGGATGCGTCCTTGGTGGGGCGCGCGCCGCGCGCAATGGCCGGGTAGTGTCGGGTTCACGCCGTCGAGACAATGAACTTTCCGCCTGCTGCGCCGCTGCTCGCTCGAGCAACGTGCGAATCTACCGGCGAGCGCGACGATCCTCAGACGTCGCGGCCTCCGGAAGGCCATGCAGCAAGGCGGTTGCTGCGGTGATGTTCTGGCTAGCTCGGGCAAAGTGAGGAAGGGCCCCATCGTCGGTGAGGATCCTCCAATGTACGGTGCGGGCCATGGCGCGTGCGCCCCCCCCGTCTTTGTGGCGTTCAATCTCGCGATTGATGTCCGTGTATTCCCGGGCGAGCCCTTGCCCGGCCTCATCGATCTCTTGCTGACGGGCCCTCAGCTGCTCCATCCTTAGGCGAGATGGGGCTGTCATCTCTTCCCCGGATCTGCTGTCAGGGTTGTTTGTAGGGGTGACCTCTTCCCTGGAGGCGCTTTCGACGTGACCTTCGGGGGTCTGCGTCATGAAGCACACAAACGATCGAGAGAGGGACTGGTCCCAAGTCTCTGATGGAAGGGTTGAAGGGATGTCAAGAGGTTCGACACAACTTGACTGTGCGTATCTGAGAGTCGTCTCGTTCGATCTTTTTTCTCTCTCTCCCTTTTATGGAGGAAGCTCATCCCCTTTTATAGATGAAGGGGCTGGCTTTACAAGGGTGAGGGCTTTAGGATGCGTACTCTACTTAGTCTTGTGGCTCACGCTCTACCCGGCCCGGTTCTTCATTCGATGAGTGCGAAGAAAGATAAGCTACTGTCACTGTCGATGTCTCAGAGAATGTCGGGTTGGTTACTGAAATGCTACCCTCACGCAGGTATGGGCCGCAGATCTGATGGTTTTGACTTTTGAGCCTCCCTAGCCTTGCTCCGCACGCCTTCCGTTCCTATGAGTCTTCGCCGGAGGGACGCGGGGTCGGAGTCTGGAGTAGCGTCGTGGCCAAGGTCTTCTTGCCTTGGTGGACTGAGGGGTCGGGAAGCGGTGCCGCTCCCTTGGGTCCACAGCGTGGTGACAGAATATCCGCTGCTTCGTGGAGATAGCAAATCCTTTTACGGAGCGTAGTAGTTGTCGTATATCTTCGTCGGGTTCCGTGTCCTAGAGCTTTGGCGGCGCCTACAACTCTGAGGTGGAGAGCTCGCACTTTGTGACACCTTTCGGGCTCTGCAGGCGCTGGAAGGGCCTAAAGCGCCTGGCCCCGTCATCCCCTGGCAGTGCTTTTTCCGCCGAGGTGCGAGGTATGGTTCTTGGAGCCACGGTTGACCTGAACGTCTTGTCTTGCCCTGTCTCTATCATCTTGAAGGAACAGGGGAGAAGTGGTCGAGTAAGATGAATCCAATCTTTAGATATGGAGCAGAGTGAGGCTCGTTCCTTGCCGTCAGGCGAAGCGGAGACCAATCCCTATCTCCTCAGGCGAGACCGACCACCGCTCCTCCGGGGGGGCGAGGCAGTAGTCTATCCTCACCCTCGGGCGAGACCGAGCCCGCCCTAAAGGCGCTTCGGGCGAGACGGAGACTAGCCTGTGCCCTCTCGGGCGGGCGAGCCACATCAAAGGCGTCAGGTGAGTCGGGGTTTATCCCTCGGCCTTCGGACGAGATCGAGCCCGTCCAAAAGGCATCGAGCGAGACGGAGACTAATCCTCGGCCCTCGGGCGAGACCGAGCCCACCCCAAAGGCGTCGGGCGAGATGGAACCAAGCTCCTGTCATTCCCATGAGGGGTGAAGCAACGCTCTTATGCGTCCAGAAGTTTTTAACGTTCGGTGGTTATTGGTTCCACCTTCTGGGGTACCCCGGTATTAGGTCCCCGACACTTCTAGTTATTAATCGTGTCACTACTCGGTTGATCTCGCCGAGAAGGCTAAACCATACCTACGAATCGAAGAACGTGAGCAATAACTCCAAAAAAACACAATCTCAATATGAATTGTTGATTATGATTAAGCACTCAAAGTCGGGATCTAACAAAACAATAACTGATGATTGTTTAAAGATGGTTTAATCTGAAGCAAAACCCAAATCCTATTATGGAGGATGACTACTGATTATAAAGTCTTTGGGCATGCATAACCCCAGTGGCTCAAAGACGCTACACGGTCCAATAGAACAAAAGATGATGTCGTAACACCCTAACAAATTCAGGATGTAGACTTTTTTTTGATGATTTTCATTGACTTCGATGGAATTTTAACACAAGCCCGGTGCCATTGGAAAACTTATCTCCTTAGTTTTACGTATATACACAGAACATAAGAAACGGAGTTCATATGTGACATGGGTGACGTTTTTAACATGGGCTACTCCTGAAGGCGCGCTGAACCGGACCTGACATCAACTTGACTAAGCCTCTCTTAGTCTCTCTTGACTTGATGGTCTTGCTAGTCTTGTCCGCCTCCATCCCTCTCACCAACTATCATGATCATCTCCAACATTTTTCTAAGAATGGTAACATCACTAGATAGACATATATTCTCATAATCATAAAAATAATCGGTTAGGAACGATTAACGAGCTTACCTCTAGATATAATTCTCGCGCTCGAGCTCTGTTCATCGGTCCTTGTATAGAGGTTGGATGAGCGGTATGTGCATCTAAAGAAGTGATGTCCTCACTAGCCGCCGCCTTGCCGTCTCAAGCTGCGCCTGCCTTATGCCGTCGCCCCCAGGAGTGGTCCGCTGCATGTCACCTTGACTCCTTTGCTCTCTCCGTAGTGGGTAGTAGGCGTTCTGCCGGTTCCTCCTCTTTCAGTCTCCCAGTTCTCCCCAGCTTCCGGCCCCCTCCCCTGGCTTCTCCGGCGAACTCGCCGGTGGCTTGTGGGAGGTGGGCCGGCCACCTCTCCCGTCCAGGTACCTTAGGTCTAGTTTGTTAAATAAGTTTGCCGGGGATGGGTTCTGTGTCGAGAACGGAGGTTCTCCTCATCTTCATCCTTTCGGTGATGGGCGGGCTACTTGCCGTCATGGTGACTGGCGGTGGTCTTCACCGGAACGACGAGGTGAGTACGAAAATAAAGCCCTCTTCTTCCTACCTTGTTCTTCCTTGCGTGCTTGGTGGATGCAAAGACGGCATGGTGCCGTTTTTACATACGCTCGGACGCTTTATCTCTGGTGTGTGCTGCAACTGCAAGCACGCCATGGCGTGCAACCTGGAGGTCTACAAGAAAGAGTCGCAGCACAGCTTCAAGGCCACCATGCCGTCCATGCTGCCGGTGCTGGCGCCTGGTGTACCTTTGCTCTCGGCAACCGTCAAAGGCCTGCCGAGCTCCAGCTTGGTGGTCACGGCGTTTCCTGGAGCCTCGCTGCGTGTGAAGCCGCTCGGCGTCAGAGTCATCAGCATGAAGGTGCCGCACAACCTCAGCGCCGACTGCTACTACGCCGCCATCATGCGGCCCTACGTGATTGCCGCTGCGGTGCTGCCGTCCTCGTCCCTACCGCCGGTGGGCGGTGCGGCGTTGCCGTACTCATCCGGCGTTGCTTTGCCCATCCAAGCGGAAGCTTGTGAGTGGGCCCCTCCTGGCCTCTCACGGAGAAGAGGTGGCGGTTCCTGGATGCATGCGTGTCCTCCATGCAAGCGGAGCATGCGTCTCTGCCTTTGGTGCTTCTACACGTACACATGCATGCTAGGGCCCACGATCTTTTCAACCACAAGCAAGCGCGTAGTTTATTTATTCTATAAGCTTATTCGTGGTGCCTGGTACTGTTTGCGTGTCCGTCATGCAGGTGTTGCAGCGAGGCCCTCGGTTACACATGTACTTGGGCCTTCATTAATTCCTCCCGTAAAGTTTAGTATTATCACGTCGGCATGTTTGACACGTGTATAGAATGTTAAATATAGATTAAAAATAACTAATTATATAGATTGTGACTAATTTGCGAGACTAATTTTTAAGCCTAATTAGTCCATGATTTTACAATGTGGTGCTATCGTAAAGCTATATTAAATATGTGCTAATGATGGCTTAATTAGTCTTAATAAATTTGTCTCGTGGAGTATTTGTTTTATTATTACTATCCAAACACTCCTATGTGACACCCTAATATGATACCTGATGGGACACCCCTAAACTTTAATCTCTATATTTAAACATCACCTTGGTCAAAAATCATATTGCCTCTGTTCTTTTGATCGATAGCAGATACACAAGTGGCAAAGCGTTCGCTGATGTTCGGGTCGACCTTCAACAATCGTTGCTTCTGGTCCTCAGATTTAACGTCAGCAAACGTGGAGCCATTTTCTAAGTCCGGTGAAGCTCATTCAATATCTACAACTCATGAAACCAAATTCTCGAAGACACATGCCGATCAGACAGTAGAGAGGAGCGTCGACCAAGCGGAGTGATCGACAGTAGAGGGGGTCATAGTGCGGAGTGCGAGAATGAAGATCCCGATGTCTTTATGGTGGCCACTTTTCTCCTGAGGCCAGCGCCCCCAGTGGGAACATCACCTATTTCTGCATCAACAGAAGTACAATTTTCTCCTAGGAGGACCAATGTTTGCTGTTGTAAGTGAGATCATTTCCACGAGTCTCTGTGTTGCTTCTCTTGTCGTAGCTCTGGAGCTACAAGTTTGTCCTTGGGATAGGAATTCCCAAAAGTTTGTACTTTGGTTTTAATGCTAATATATTTGAGTACTTGTCGAAAAAATGCTCTACCCTAACGAAGACAAGTCGATGTTGACTACAAAACGAAGAGGGCGCTTCGTTTAGCTCTGGAACTTTGGAGTTTGTCCTTGCGATAGGAATTCCCAAAAGTTTGTACTTTGGTTTTAATGCTAATATATTTGAGTACTTGTCAAAAAAAAAATGCTCTACCCTAACGAAGACAAGTCAATGCTGACTCAAGGTTGTTGGAGCATATGACTCGCGCGAACGTGGTAAACTATGATTACAGAAAAAAAATACTCAAGAGTTAACAACTACATGAAGCATCCAGAACACTCGCACTTGGAGTCTTGGATGTAGAAAGCGCTTGCGTTTGGATTGTTTTAGAATGGGGTTGTAATACATTATCATCATTAAAAAGTTTAACGGAATGTAAACCAGTGTGTTGACACTTCTCATTAAGGATGCAAAAACGTAAAGGCGTTATACATCTGCCTCGCTTAGTGGTTAACAAGCCTAGATAACCATGAATGAAACAATTAATAAATTAAAAAAAAAGATGATCAGCACTAGACCATGGATTCACAATATCCGCTTTCCACATAGAAGATGGAGATTCAATCACGCAACAAAGATTTGTGTGCATTCACATTGCAGCTAAGCAGTAGCAAGCCAAGCAGAAGCGAATAAGCGATCTAGAACAACACAATTGTTTCTAAAGACTGGCAACATCAAACAGCCCTATCCTTTTCGCCCACTATGCTGCTTACTGTCAGCGGAGACGCTGAACTGTAGACAAATCACAAAGTTCGCGGAGGGATGGCGACGCTGGTGCATGGTGGGCTCCGCACCACTCACACGGCCATCGAAGCCGTGCACCGTGCCACCGTGCACGGGTGGTGAACTGGCGGAGTGGCATCCGTGCCCGTACGCGACGACGTGCGCGTGCGCCAAGATATCCTTCATCACATGGCAGGTGGGCTACCTCTTCGCCAAGATATTATATATATATATATATATATATAATATATATATTGCAAAGAAAGCACGGCGAGCGGAGTCCAGATCAAAAAGTAGCACGGCGCAGCTGCTGCCGGTCGGCCACCAAACAGTCACCGCAGGGCAGGCGCAGGCCAACCTGAAAGGCGGCGGCGGCAGCGGCAGCAGGTCACTCCTCTGTCCTCTCGTCCCCAGTCCACCGCATCGCCATGGCGCCGCCGCAGACGGTCCCCCGGCGCGGCCTCTTCATTGGTGGGGCATGGAGGGAGCCGTGCCTCGGGCGCCGCCTCCCCGTCGTCAACCCGGCCACCGAGGCCACCATCGGTTCGTGCCCGCGCTCCCCCTTCTCTCCGATCGCTTTGACAGCGTACCTGCAGCACCCTACCTAGCACCGTACTGAACTCGACCTTTTTTGTTGTGGTGGTGGTGACCACTGATCGGTATCGGCGAAGGCGACATCCCGGCGGGCACGGCGGAGGACGTGGAGATCGCGGTCGCGGCGGCGCGGGACGCGTTCTCCCGCGACGGCGGGAGGCACTGGTCGCGCGCCCCTGGGGCCGTGCGCGCCAACTTCCTCAGGGCGATCGCCGCCAAGGTGCCAACCTTGTCCTTCCACAACTCACAACCATATCCCGAGTCTGTTAGAGTCGTGAACATCTAGCTGGTGTGTGAACAGAGTTAGTTTTGGGGGCGACTAGGAAGGTTGCTCTTGCCTAGTGTTTTTTGGAGTCCATAGATCGCTTCTGGGAAAAACAAAAACGTGATCGAGATGGATGACTGTTGAGCGATTGATTGTCGAATGTCTCCCCTTTTATTTGGCCAGTATCTGATTTCATTTTACACCTCTTGGTTAGGTTGATTGTTTGTTGTGTATGAACATCTATGGCTGTAGTTTTATATATCCGATACCTTAATCTTGGTCTACTAATCTCATACTGTAGAGTAGAAGCCTTAAATTCTTGAGGTAGTAACAGCCTAGCAGGATAGTGACAATGCAGGCTCCAATCATAGACTATTTTTCCTGCTATGTGCCATGCTATGACACTGAAATTGTCTGTAGATTGTCTTTCAGTAGTGGAAAATATGGATTATATTTCAGCTATCAGCAATCGGGCATTGGATCTTACTGTCATCATTTAAGATTACTTCCTGCGCGCATGTGGAAGGCTTACTAGTTAATGCTGTTTACTGCATTTTGAATGGACATCTGTTAAAAGACTCGACCAGGGGGAGGGACGCCCCCTGATTTTGTCCTTAAGAAGTTTGTGCTAGCCTTTGAACCTGGACCAGTGACAGGGGTTTCATTGTCCATTTGATTCCCGGACTTCAAAGGTCTAACCAGTGTAACTCAACAGGAGAAGTTGGCTAAATGGACATCTGTTATTATGAGGAAATCATCTCATTGTTTTCTTCTTAACTGGCACGGTTGTTTCTTCTGGCAGTAATTTTCTTGAAATGTTTGTTGCTGGGTGCAGATTAAAGATAGAAAATCTGAGTTGGCTTTGCTGGAGACACTTGATTTTGGGAAGCCTCTGGATGAAGCAAGTGCAGACATGGTAGCTTCAGTTTGCATTTTGCACTATGATGTTCGTTGTGTCTGGAGAAAGAAGATGCAATATGTTTTAATCAATGTTTTAACATTTCATATCATATTAGGATGATGTCGCTGCATGCTTTGAGTACTATGCTGATCTGGCAGAAGCTTTAGATGGGAAGCAACGTTCACCAATCTCTCTGCCTATGGAAAACTTCAAGTCATATGTACTTAAAGAACCCATTGGGGTTGTTGGACTGATCACTCCTTGGTATGACATCTGCTTTCATTCAAGCACCTTAATTCAACAAGTTTTCCAACATTTCATTGTATTCTTCTAGATTTTCAGTTCATGAGCATATGCTGATTCTATAGTGTAACAAAATGTTTCTACATTCCATGTCTCGTTTTCTTCTTAAGGTCAGTTGTTATGTGGTTAAACCAGAGTGATTATTTATTTTCTATCTTTACTACATGCTTTCATTTATCCATGTCAAACAAGCGAACATTCTGATTCCTATCAGAGCAAATACTGTTAATCTGTATGCGAGTGCATTTTAAATTTGTTCTCTTTTGTATTTCATAGTTTAACATATTTGAAGCTAGTAGCTGCTTCCATGATAACTGAAATTGGTTCTTTCGACCTCTCTTATATCCAAGAAAAGCACAACATGATCAGCTAGAAATGTGCCTTTTCTTCTCCAAGCCCCTTGGGCCATATACCAGCCTTTTAGTCATTATTATGCTCATTTCTCAATTGTTGAGCCCTCTACAAGTTAAGGATATGTTAACACCATCACTCACACATGCACCTTCACATGCATCCTAAAAGGCTTGGAGAACTACTATCGTTTATGTTTGTGCTTTGCACATGAACAATGAGTTTATCCGATGATCATTCTAACCCCTTATCTTTCTCCTTGTGTAAATGAAGGAACTATCCTCTGTTGATGGCAACTTGGAAGGTCGCACCTGCCTTGGCTGCTGGGTGTACAGCTGTATTAAAGCCTTCAGAGTTGGCTTCTGTGTAAGGCTTTGATGCTTTTTAAGTTATTACTTGAGCAGTTGTTTTATCCTGGGAGTGGGAATAAAATCTTTTATAAATTCAGGAGTTGCTTAGAGCTTGGTGCAATATGTATGGAAATAGGCCTACCACCAGGTGTCTTGAACGTAATTACTGGTCTGGGCCCTGAAGCTGGTGCTCCATTATCCTCACATCCCCATGTGGATAAGGTCAAGACAATCAGACCTCTTTCTCAATGAGTACATATGCTGTTTAGCATCACTTGATTTGAAATAATTACTGTCAGATCATAAACTTATCACAATTATGTGTCCATGTTGTAGATTGCTTTTACTGGAAGTACAGAAACTGGTAAGAGGATAATGACTTCAGCTGCCCAAATGGTTAAGGTTTGTTCTCTTTTCTCTATATTTAGCTGCCATCTTTCTCAGCAAATTTCCACATCCTAAATGAACTTTCCATCAACATGATCATTGTGGATCTGTTGATGCAAGAAATCTTCAAATTATGTACCTGTATCACAGAATTCTTATTCCATTGTTTATTGTAATCTTCAACAGCCTGTTTCATTAGAGCTTGGTGGCAAAAGTCCTCTTATTGTCTTTGATGACATTGGTGACATTGACAAAGGTCTCTTCCTCATGTTGCACTGTGCCCCTAATTTTATTTTATCTAATGTTTCAACAATCAATCTATTTTCAGCTCAATTCATAAGGTTTATAACATTATGGAAGTGCAAAAGTCAATTTTACATATTTTATTGCAAGTTTTGTTAGCTGTACTAAGGTATAACTGGATTGAAAACAGCTGTTGAATGGGCCATGTTTGGGATCTTTGCAAATGCTGGTCAAGTCTGCAGTGCTACTTCTCGTCTACTGCTGCATGTATGTATTTCTTCTAGCTGTTTTGTACAGATCAAGTCATCTTCTGATACATGACATCACACCAAGTTATTTCTAATACAGGAGAAAATTGCAAAGAAATTCTTGGATAGATTGGTTGCATGGGCAAAGAATATAAAAGTCTCAGATCCACTGGAGGAAGGCTGCAGACTGGGTTCAGTTGTCAGTGAAGGACAGGTGATGTAAAACGAAGCGTATCAAACTTGTTGAAGTTTTGTTGCAGACATGTACTTACCTTTTTTTAATATATGTAATACTTCAATGAGGATATTATGTCCAAATTAAATAAGTAATCAGGAATCAGGCCAATAGCGATGATATCCAAAGCAAGAAACTGCTAGCAAATGATTCTTTGCACACCACTCTTTCAAAAAAAAAGTGATTTTATTCATTTATATTTTTGAAATCAACATAGAACATTATGAACATAACCCAATTGCATGTGTCATCCCCAACTCTGAACATCTTAAATCCTCTTGTTTAATTCAGTATGAAAAGATAAAGAAGTTCATCTCAACTGCAAGAAGTGAAGGTGCCACAATTCTGTATGGAGGTGCCCGACCACAGGTAAGCATCCTTAATTTCATTGCCTGATTTTGGTTTCTCAGCCATTGATCCAAGCTACATTGATGAATTGGCAGCATCTCAGAAGAGGGTTCTTTCTCGAACCTACAATTATAACAGATGTTAGTACGTCAATGCAAATTTGGCGAGAGGAAGTCTTTGGACCAGTCATCTGCGTTAAAGAGTTCAGGACAGAGAGTGAAGCTGTGGAACTTGCAAATGATACTCAGTGAGTCATTTTTGCTTGATTTTTCAAGACTAGAAAATAAAAAAGAGCCTTTGATGCTTATATTGTTCATTCACCTTCTGCACAAACTCTTTTCAGCTATGGTTTAGCTGGTGCGGTGATCTCCAATGATGAAGAGAGGTGCGAGCGCATTTCAAAGGTAACAGAAAGTGGACGTATGACCTGGACATTGATTTCACCTCCTGATTACTTGCAAGGATGTTAAAGTTATAATTTGATGGAAGTATTTGATACCATAACACATGTAAAATTTGTCGTCTGCAGGCTCTTCACTCTGGTATTATTTGGATAAATTGCTCGCAGCCATGCTTCGTCCAAGCTCCTTGGGGAGGGAACAAGCGGAGCGGTTTTGGTCGGGAGCTCGGAGAATGGTGAGTCTTGGCTGCAATGTCAAAAGATTGCACAAATTGTAGCTATTATACTCCCTAAGCAAAGGTTTTGTAAGTTGCATCATCTGAATTGCCTTCACTACTTTCAGGGGCCTTGATAACTATATGACCGTGAAGCAAGTCACCAAGTATTGCTCGGATGAACCGTGGGGATGGTACCAGCCTCCATCTAAGCTGTGAAGGGGCATCCATTCCAGGAGAATGGAGCGCATCATTAACTGAAGACAGCATCAGTCCTGTTCATGGACAGAAGCTTATGCACAGTATAGTGCTCGTCAATAAAAGCTCTTTGATGGCAAAAATGCTTGCTGCTTGCACTACTATAGAATTCAGGACTGAAGAGTACTATTAGCATGGGTTGTTAGTCTGCATTCTTATCATTCGAAGTTTCACAGTGGTGTGTAGTTGCACCTGGAAGATCGCAATAATAATAATGATAATTGGATAATCTTGAGACTGCTAATACGTATTATTTTACACTTTAAATATGTTTCACGAGGATTCATTATTAACTTCCTGGAGTGCTTTAGTCGATCCATAAGAGGCTAAGACTAAGATATGGCTGTGGTTCGCATGGGACAACCGGCAAAGGACACGGGAGGGCTTGTAGGTGCCGGTTTCTGATGAAGACCCAGCAATGTTCAGTGCAGCCACTGTAAGCTGGCAAATGGCAAAACGGCATCCTCGTGGAACTCGCGCTGGCTAAATGGCGAGACACTGGCTGTGCGCTTTCCGGCGCTGCACAAGCATAGCAGGAGGAAAAATAGGACGGTTGACATTGACCACAATTTGAGCCAGCAACTTATCGCGGAGTACATCAAACTTTGGGAGGAGCTGGAGAATATAGTCCTCATAGAGTCATAGCAAGACACCATCTCCTGGACTGACAGCTGACGGCAAATACTCCACCAAGTCTGCGTACACTATGCTCTTTGAGGGAAAGACACAATGCGCGGCAGCAGCTCAGACATGGAAAACAAAGGCGCCACCGAAATGTAAGTTCTTCATATGGCTCATGTTGCAGGATAGAATATGGATAGCAGCGCGCCTGCAGATCAGAGGCTGGCCGAGTACTTCTGTCAGCTATGTATCAGAAATCTTGAGACTACGCTGCACCTGTTTTGCCAGTGCCATGTGGCAAGAAAAGTCTGGGAGCAGGTTGGGAACTGAATTCAGGCAACATCCTTGATGCCTGAAAATTGGGACCAAACTGCAACCATGACTGAATGGTTCACTGGATTAGTGGCCGCTGCTACTCCTTCAACGCGACCGGGAATGCGTTCGATGGTCACTCTGACCATCTGGGAACTGTGGCGAGAGAGGAACAACCGCATCTTCAGGAAGGAGGTCAGGTCTGTCCAGCAGATCGTGTTCACCATTCAAGATGAAGCGCAGACTTGGGCGTTTGCTGGGAACAATGATCTGAAGCAGCTATTACCGGCGCCTGCTGCTCTTGAGCAGATGCTTGCAGGGATTGTTCTTAGGATCCACTTAGCTGTAGCACCATCTGTTTCATGTAAATCAACTTAACCGACATCAGGGGTGGCGAGGGACTAGGCTTCTGAGTCCCGAGCAAAACTGTTGCAGCGCGGCTTGTGCCACATAGATCATTATAATATGCTCTTCTCTTATATCAATGAAAGCGGGCAACTGATCTTTCAAAAAAGAACTTTTTAGCAAAAAAAATTGAGTACGCTTTGGAGTTTTTCCTTTTTTTCAAAAAACCATTTTCAAAGTTTTTCTAAAACGAAACTTTGAAACTACTCAACTAGGATACGGCAATGCTCCCACACGGGCGTCCGTCCGGACGCCGCGCACCCCACTCTGCCTCGCTGCTGCCGTCTCTTCCCTCGCCGCCGCGCACGCCTAGCCTGCACCGCTCGCTCCTCTCTCTTGCCCGTCACGCTCGCCCACCTTTGCTAGTCGGGCCACTCGCTTCCATGCGCGTCGAGCGCGCTGCCCGCCTCTACTGGTGTTGGTGCTGCCATCATACGCCTCAGGTCGGTCCCGGCCGAGCCAAGGGCACCCACGAGCGCGGCCCATGCCGGTGGTGCTCGCGCGCCGCAGCTTGCCGTCGGCTCCCACCCCCGAGGCCGGAATGACCGGCCCCGGCCCCATCTCCTATGTTGCAAATGTATGTTTCAGATGTTTCAGAGGTATGTTGTAAGCGTTTCATATGGATGTTGCAGAAGTAGATTAGGATGTTGCATATAGTGCAAGTGTTTCAGAGGCATGTTGCAAGCGTCTGTTCAAAATGTTTCATCTGTTTCAGACGTATGTTGCAAGCAATTTGGTCTGAATTGTTGTAAACTATTCGAATCACATGGTCATAGATCTAGTCGGGTACATCTTATAAATGGATAGCATATCCTAGTACATGAACTAGATAGAGATTAGAGGGAGGAGTAGTGCTAGGTTACCGACCATCGTAGGCCTTCGATCTAGAGGCGTCTGCCATGGGCGTTGCGTCGGTATCTGCGCGATGGCAGCGACGGTTGGTGAAGACGGTGTCGGTGATGGGCGGTGGCGACCGACGGTGAAGATCGGTGGCGGCGCAGTGCAGTGGTGGCGGTGACGCAATCCGGTGGCGGCGCAGCTGGTGGCTTCCCGTCACTGGCTGCGCGCCCTCTAGATCGGATCAGGGATTTCGGTGGGGAGCTCGGCTCAGGCGAACCTCGTGCCCAGAGCTGCCGGCCCCACCTCTATTTATTGCGCGGTGTGACAGGGGCCCTCCAGTCATAGTGGGCTGGGCGCCCCCGATCAGGGCGCGGATCAAAGGACCAACTGGGCCGTTGGGCCCAGTTTGGGATTAGAGATCAATCTAACAATCTCCCCCTTGATCTCCTACCATCTTTCAATTTCATATCATTTACTTTTGTTCATTCCATTACAGATTAGCGCATAGAGCATGTTTCATCGTCACGGTCAATTGCCGATAGATTTAATAGCTACAACACACCACTCTGTTCTGAAATAGATACTTAACTTTGGGCCTTCTTTTGTCTAGGAATTATAGGCTTTTCCTTAAACCCATGCCGGCTACATGTTCTCTAAACATGTTGGGTGGTAAGCCTTTTGTAAGCGGATCCACGAGCATCTTTTCGGTACTTATATGCTCAAGACTTATAACATGATCCCGGACTTTATCTTTCACAACATAATACTTTATGCCAATGTGTTTGGCAGCACCACTTGACTTATTGTTGTGAGCATACTGTACTACCAGATTATTATCACAGTATAACTTAAGTAGTCTATAGATGTCGTCAACCACCTTCAAACCGGGTATGAACTTCTTTAGCCAGTTCACCTGCCCCGTTGCCTCATAACACGCTACAAACTCGGCATACATTGTGGACGATGTAGTGACGGTTTGCTTTGAGCTTTTCCATGAAATAGCTCCCCCTGCGAGAGTGAATACATATCCAGACATGGATTTTCTATCATCTCCCGCATAGTCAGAATCAGAATTGAAAGCATCTAGGCCCCTAGTTGGGTTTCGGTGATTAATGACAATACGTGATTACTGTTACTAACGTGTGTTTTGCAGAGGCAATTAAGTTAGGTCACGGTAATGGAGGTCGATTGGGCAATCATGGTGTTCATGCCCCTAAGATGGAAATCGTTTTGGTTTTCAAAGGATGGACGACAAGGTTAAGGATGGACTAGTTCTAAGTGTCGTTTGATGTTGAAGAGACACTTAGAGTAGTTTAGGACTTTGTTTTTCCTTTGGCCGTACTATTAAGGGAGGTATGGACGGGTAGCTTGACCTATGTGATTCTAGTGAGTTAGGTATGGTGCACACTTGCTAAATCTAGCACAAGGTAGCTCCAAAATAGCCCTTAGATCCAATGAAGCAAACTTCATTCACGCGTGATTGAGAGTTGGAAGTGAATGGAGGGTCAAATACTGACCGGACGCTGGCTTCGGTGTGACCGGACGCTAGCGTAGAGTTCGGTCAGTTCATTTGATCAAGGTGAAGTCGTCTGGAAGTGACCGGACACTGAGAGGTGAGTGACCGGACGCTGAGGGCCAGCGTCCGGTCGACTCCGGTAAGGTTCCAGAGAGGGAAAATCATGACCGAATGCGTCCGGTCACCACTTGATCACTGGAGTTCGGGGTGAACTGATCGGAGCTTCCGGTCAACATGACCGGAGCGTTCGGTCACCCCGTAGAGGCACATAACGGTTCGTTTTTCAGCCGGTGTTATAAATACTTCCTCCACTCGTGTGTGGGGGCACTTTTGCTCATTCCAACAGCTGAGAAACACCTTTGAGAGTGCTAAGAAGAGCAAGGTCCTAGTGAGGTGATTGAGATTTAAGAATCCCAAAGAGAGCCCTCATTAGTGAGATCAAGAGTAGCAAAGTGTGCATCTACCCTTCTCGTTAGGCTTATCATGGTCAAGTGAGAGTTCGTGCTTGTTACTCTTGGTGATCGCCGTCACCTAGACGGCTTGGTGGTGATTGGGAGCTTGGTGATCATCCGGCGGAGCTTGTGGATGACCCAACTCAAGTTGTGAGCGGTTGTGAGTGATTCACCGCGACGGAGAGTCAAAGAATCAACCCGTAGAGAGCACTTGATCCTTGCGCGGATCAAGGGGGAGCTACACCCTTGCGTGGGTACTCCAACGAGAACTAGTGGGGAGTGGCGACTCTCCGATACCTCAGCAAAACATCGCCGCGTTCCTCCTTCTCTCTTTACTTTGAGCAATTCAATTCTTGTCATTTACATTCATAGAATTGCCATGCTAGAGCAGGATTGGAACTTAGGTTGCAAGACTCTTTGTGCGATAGATCAATAGAAACACTTTCTAGGCACAAGGGGTTAATTGGGCTAATCGTAGGATTTAATTATTACAAAGAAATTTAGAATTAGCCCAATTCACCCCCCTCCCTCTTGGGCATCTTGATCCTTTCAAGAATATCTCACTATATGGAGTGAATCTGATCTTCTATACGTCATCATGAGGCTTTTCGTTCCTTGCAAATAACGCAAGACTTTCTTTACCAATTTCCAGTGTTCTGTTTCAGGATTGCTCTGGAATCTACCAAGTAACCTGGTAACAAATGCCAAGTCAGGGCGCGTACATACTTGAGCATATTGCAAGCTTTCGACAACTGAAGCATATAGAACCGTTTTTATTTGATCGATCTCATACTAGTTCATGGGGCATTGAAAAT